TTTCCTTAACCCCCCTCCCTCCCTCTGTTGAGTGACATGTGGTCTGTTTGATGCAGAGTTCAAAAAGGCATCAAGGCCCAGCGGGAGAGCTCATGGCTATAAACCTCAATTAGCCTGGCACCCATTTGTCTGCGAGACTCTTGCTGGAGAAGGATCGTAAAGCCATAAACCAAGTCCTTCACTGAGTTCAAAGACATTCCAGATAAGCCATAAAGCAGACATCACATTCAAGACCCACTTTCACCTATGATTACATATCTTGGAATAAAAACCAGATTCACTTACATAAAAACCAGGCATATATTCAAACTGCTCACTTTAATTCCACAAGTCGCCTGATAGGTTACACCCCCTAGCTGACAGCTACAGGAGAGCAGAAAATAAAGTATCTCCTTAACCATTCCAGCAGGTATGTCATGAGTTGAGCTAAGTTGAAGATCCTCCCTTGTAACATCGGAACCAACTCTGGGAGACGGCCCTTTTGCTCAGAGCACTTGAAAGCTGCTTAAACCAAAGCTTTTGTCAAGTACTTTATCTATTTAAATTCCTTTCTGTTATCTCTTTGCTGTGTTATTGCTCTCTGTATATTTATAGATTTATATATATTGGCTACATCTTTTCTGTAAATATTTTTATTGCACCCTTTTGACCTTTTAGCAATAAATCTTACTTTCTGAAAGTGTTGAACTGTTTCTAAAGCTCTTTAATGCAAACTAAGAACCCCTGCCTCTGAAGAGCGCTACTGTGTGTGGTTTAAACTTCGGTATATCTCTGCTTGCGGTGACAGTGGTATACTGAAGCTTATGCAAACGTCATAGTGTTATTGCTGATATTGCCGAGTTTCCTCTTTCTCTGTACAAAAAGGAGGTGGTGGCAGCGTGAAGGGTTAATTGTGTAATTAACCTGACCCAGTAACAATCGCTCCCAGGCTGAAAGTACACAGATTGTGGTCCATTAGCTGGAAAATCTTTGTGCAAGGTGAAGCTGTACGTGGCATTGTTATGCACGTGACAGCGCGGTTTTAGATTGGCTAGTCCTTCAGTCATGAGTTTGGTGAGAAGGGCTGGGGTCTGACGCCACGATCGTCACAATCCTCTAAAAGTATGTTGGACCTTGGGATCATTGAGGTGTCCTCCAGTAGTTGGTCAAGCCTGGTAGTTTTAATGTCCAAGCTAAATGGAACCTGGCAGTCCTGTAATGATTTTCAAAAGTTAGATTAAAGTGTTACTAAACCCAGAACCCTGCATTCACTATATCTGGTCTCCCACAGTACACAGAACATGGAAATGCAATTATTTTAGTAAATATAAACTGCTAAATACCTTTTAGCAGTTAGAGCAGTCTTGTGACTTCAGCAGAGCACTGGTTAAAGCTTGTAGGAGTTTTCTGCTCTAGGTGGATGTGAAACCCCCTGACCCTCTGTCTGGACAGTGCAGTTTGGCCCTGTGCTGACCACATGCACTCTCCCAAGAAAAAAAAACCTCTCTAGCAATACACACTAAACTGAGCATGTGTATGTGACTACGGATTCAGTCTGTATCAGGTGGTCGCTTCAACAAGAGGAGGGGCAGAGAAGAAAGTATCAAACAGCCTTTTTACACAATGCAGAGGATAAACCCCTTAGGTTCCACAGTGAGTATAACAAGCATGCTTTACTGCATATACTGACTGATTTTACTGTTGTGGCTTTAGTAACACTTTAAGTCTCCAAACTGGATGGGTATACAATGCTTCGGGTAGATGGATTAACTGAAAAAATATGTTCAGCCTGGTACTTTATTACTGTTGATTTAACAAAGGGTTACTGGCAGATACCATTCTCCAAGGAGGCTAAAAAAAAACAGCACTTGCCACACCAGAGGAGTTATGGCAGTATGCCAGAATGCCATTTGGGTTTTATGAGGATCCAACTACTTTTCAGGGAGTCATGGAAAGAGTCCTGAGACACCATAGCAAATTATCTAGAGCTTATCTAGATGATATCTCCATCTTTAGCCATGACTTAGAAAGTCATCTAAAAATATCCAGTTAGTTCTAGATGACCTAGAAAGGGTGGGGTTCAGTATGAAACCCTTGGAAAAGCAAAACTGGATTAGAGGTGGCCCACTATCTGTGGTACATTGTAGGTAGAGGCATGATCAAACCCCAGTTAAACAAGGTGGAAGCCATCCAAAAGTGCATTTCTTTCTCAGCATTGTGGGGTATTATAAAAGGTTTCTTCCCAACTTTGCCAGCTTGACCACACCTTTGGCAGACCTCACAAAGGGAAAAAACTCCACTATCATTCACTATAATTTAGAGGCAGAAGCAACATTCTGCCAGTTGAAGTAGGTTTTTTTGCAATGAAACAGTTCTCGTAGCCCTGGATTTTCAGGAAATGTTGCTTTTGTAAACTGATGCTTCAAAAGTGAGACTTAATATGGTTTTGTCCCATTTAGTTGGAAGTAAATAACAACCTGTTGTATATGAGCTGGAAGCTTACTTCAGCTGAGAAAAAATATTCAATTGTGGAAAATGAGTGGATTACAATAAATTGAGCTTTAGAGACATTCTGGTACTACTTGTCAGGCTGACCCTTCAAGCTGGTGTCAGGACATGCCTCCTTTACCTGGATGGCACAGAATAAAGACAGGAACTTCAGGGTTTGCTAGTTTCTTGCTCTCCAAGATTTCAAGTATACAGTGGGGCTGGTTGGTGAACCTATGTACTAAACTTTTTTGTACTGTGCTAAAGCAAAGCATATACTGTACCTTGCCAAGTTTAAATACTGTGTTCTACACTGAAAATAAGCTGCTTTAAGTTCTATTTACACTACACTGAAGGAAAATCCTATTGTTGTTTGCCTGCTGACAAATAAAGTCGATTTTAGGTTTATGGAACTGTGTTGCAGAAGCCTGTATTCTCCCGGATCCCTGAAAAGTAATCATATTTTATCATAATTTCTTCATGAGAGTGATTGAAATTATATGGAGAAACCTGACTATCTATATCATTGTTAAAGCTTAATTGAATCCTCCTAATGTACAGTATTACTATAATGCAGTGAGGATGCATGTACTGTAATGAACGTGCCTCTTTTTTCTTACTTTTTAATCTGCTAAATGTTGCAGCAGGGGTAAAATACCCTGTCCTGGCAGCACTAAGAGGCTAGGACTGCTCAAAAGCACACAACTTGCCATTCATACACAGCAGCCCAACAATTTGACACATTCTCCCGGTTGTGTGAGGGAGTGAGAGCAATGTTGATTGGAGCAGTGTTTAGTGGGGTCTCTTGGAGTGATGGAGTGACAGCCTGTTGCTTATGTATGATACTGACTCCTATGTGCTGGCAGCACAGGGCTTTACTGACTGCATTCCAGTAATAAATTAAGAGGGTTCATTTAGGTTTTAAGTTGAAATTAACAGACATGACCCCGACTGGATAATGCTTCAGGATTTATCAGTGATAGATCATGAGGCTTGAGCTCTAACAACAGGTGTGATTGAATGAAGCAAAATTGTGAAAGAAGAAAGTATTCCTTCTTTTTGTATAATTTCTAACTGATCATTGTACATAAGCATAGTTAATCAATAACTGTTTTTTTAAGAAATTGCTTTCATTTCTTGGAAGTGTTAGGTTTTACAGAAAAAGGAATAGGTCTACAGGAATTAACTGTTGACACAGTGGGGTATGGCATTACTGGGGGGCTGCAACGTCATTTTTCTGCCCTCTCTAATAATAGAATAGGGTAGACTCAGCTATGGCGTAAAGTATTTAGAAGAGTGAATGCTTTGGCACTTAACAACAGGCTATTTAAAAAGCTAGCAATGCCATAGATAATTTCCTCTACAAAAAAAAAAAAAACATCAAAAAGTGTTTAACTGCTTTCAATCATTTAAGTTACAAAGATTTGTCATAAAGTGTCCTAACTTACAAATATGTATGCTGTACAATAATACTACAATGCAGTTTTTATTTAATAATGTGTTTTAATCGACACTACAATGCTGCATATTTTTGTTTTATATCAAAATATATATATAACGGCTTAAAAAAAAGCAAAATTTAACCACAAGGCCTGAAAAGCGGATTTATGTAGTAAAGGGATAAACCAAGATAAATCTACAAAAATGCTGGAATGTGTATGAGAACATTGAACTAACTCTTTATTAACAACTAACCTTTGTAGGCGTTTGGACTCAGCAACAGTAACAGCCTTATGAGCAGCATTGAAATAGCATTTCCTGCTTAAACAATTAATACAAATTACTTTGAGAATGCTGCAGTCTCCTTTTGATTCTATTTATTGATGTTACTTTAAAAGAATATAAAACAGAGAGTTGGAAAAAATGTGTCAAAGCGAGTTTCTTTTACGGTGTGTAAGCAATTGAAACCACTTGTTTATATGTGCTTGCGTGTTGAAAGTGAGAGAGAAAGAGAGAGAGCAAGAAAGGGAGAAAGAATGGATAAACAGCTTTGGGACAAGCAATTAAGTTGTCCATCAACTTAAATTACCCATTTGATAGAAAATTACTGAAACTGGGCTGGTAGCTATAGGCCACCAGTTCCTTTATGAATCAGCCCCAGGGATTGGGGAAGGGAAACCATATAAAGAGAATGGAGGATATAAGAGAGAAAGAAATGTGGGTATGGGAGAAAAAGAGAGAGAGAGAGAAGGACAAACATAGATAGTGGGTGGGGGGAAGGGGGGTAGGATGTGTACATGTGAGTGAGAACTGGCACTGTTTCTTATCTAAACATATGAACATTGGAACCAAAATAATAAACTGTCCTAAAATTTATCTAACATTTGGAATATTCTACCACCATATAACCAATACCTAAACCACTGTATTTCAGCTTTATGTTTATCTTTTCTTTGTACTGAGGCTAAAAGTACTTTTTTGGATCATCCATTGAATGGGTTGTATTGGATACTTGTTTCTCAAAAAAAGTTCCATCAAAACATTCTCTTAGTAAGACCTAGGGTGAAACTTAGAAAATGCAAAAAAAAATTCAATCAAACAGTTGTAATTTGGTCAACCACTCTAGTGCTGTCCAGGTCCACCATTTCAACACATTCTATCTCTTCACGGTTTTCCTGGGTTTTCTTTTCTTTCCTCTTCTTCTTTGAGGGTGGAACAAAAGTCAGCATAACTGGCAAAATTGCAAAGCAGTGAAAGAATGTGACAAATGCTATCAAAAACAAGCACCTGAACAGTGTACGGGTCAGATTTGAAGGCACAGCTGCGAGAGGGATCAGACCAACAGTGTAACAGAGGTAGCTCTGTAAAATGGCTACCCCATGCAATTCTAATGAATTTTTCACCCACTTAGTCCTAGTAAATTCTTTACCCAGGATAAATGTTGATATTAGTGGTGCACAGTTGTCTATGGTGTAGTTAATCCCATAGATTAGGCAAAGTACAGATATACAGTCCAACTCGACTTTCCATAATGTCATGAAACCAATTACTCCAAACTCTACAGAGGCCACGGTTAGTGTTATCCAAATATTGATGATAGAGCTGGCAACAAGAAATGATGAAAAAAAAACAGCAGGAACAAAAGCACTTATGCAGGAGTTTTGTAATGGAGCTCCAATTGAAGAAGCATATCGGTCCATGTAGACAAAGGATGGGTTGAAGACAATGAATTTTACTTTGGACGTAAGAGAAAGTTTCCTTAAAGTTTCAAGAAGATCATAGAGTTCTTCCCTGTTTGTTTCCATGGTCTTTGCAATCAGAAACATCCTAGAGGCCACAACATCTACTTCATTGTTGTATTTCTTGGGTATGATGATGTCTTCAGAAAAATATGCATATCGTGGGTTTTTCAGAAAAGAGTATCTCAGTATGTCAGTGAAGTTCTTTTTGGGTAATCCAGTAGATATATTAAGTTTTCTGAGATAGTTTAAGTAGCTCTCAAACCATGATATTCTTACAAATCCTTTTGTGTATTCCAGAACATCCTCCTGGACACTTGTATTCCAGTATTCTATAGATTCATAGATGTAAAAGCCAATGACTGGGCTGTAGTTACTGAAATACTTTTGCTGGATTGCGGTGTATGTTATGGTTCGTGTCTCTGTTGCAACTATGTTACTCAGGTCAGACCCTTCATTGACCTGCAGGTAGCCCATTAAGGCAAAGGAAATATAAACAAGGTAAAAGAGAACTACAAAAGGTTTTACATATGTATTTGTTATCCAGTCACAGTAATATCGTCTAAGGAAGCAAACCAAAAGGTGACTTTCATAAGAGTTTGTTTCTTCGGAGTCTGTTGTGTCTTCACTAAATCTTGCAGTCATAAGAAACCTGTACCACAACGATTTGACCTGTAGAATTTCAGGCTTTGGCACCTTCCTGCAAAAAATACTATGCTGGTAATTGTTTTCAATGTACCCAGTAAACACAAGGCTAGAGCCATAGAATGATAGTATGTAGAGGTAGTTAAAGAAGATTGCTATACATGAATTGCGGCAAAATATCCTTGCAGCTTCGATGTTCGTAAAGGGACTGGCACCAATCCCAAAGGTAACAAGATACATGGCAGTGGTGAGAGAAAAGGAAATCATGGTGTCTGCATACACAACTGCGGTCCTTTCTTTTACATGTTGGTCTTCTCTAGTCTTCCTCCAAGATGACAGCATTTCAAACGTTCCATATAATCCATGACCTTGAAAGAAGAAAGAACAACACACAGTTATAAGCTATCCTTGCAATATAATACTTTCAGGCAATATTTATTGCATTAGATTCCTGCCTGACCTCTAGACTACAGATTTAGCATATCCTCAAATTTCCTGTGATTTACTGTTACTTGGGTAATTTACAGATTCCAAGATGTCTTTAGAACCAGCATATTGAATTTTTCACTTGCTGTTTTGATTCCAGCTATGTATTTTTCTGTCCACTGATAGGAATGATGTTCAAAATTCACCTTTTCAACAACACAATGTCGGAAGGATGATAACACATTCAATAATATCTGACCAAGCAGACCAATATCCAAACTGAAATATCTGCTTACTGAAAGCTCTGCTATAGCAAGCTGAAAGGCCTGTGGCCAGTGTAGAACAAGGGACAGCAAATACATTCAGCATGAGAGCAATTTTTTCATTTATTACACACGTAGAAATCTTCATTTTTAGCCATAAAATAACTTAAATCCCCAGCAGGGGCGGATTGACCATTTGGAAACTCGGCCACTGCCTGAGGTCCCGGGGTCAGTAGGGGGCCCCATGAGATGCCCCTGGTACCTTTTTCATAGGCTTTTTTGAGTTTGGGCAATGACACAGGGGCCCCATGATCCCCTATTGCCCGGGGGCCCCATGAGTTGTCAGTCCACCCCTGACCCCCAGAACATTTTATATTTTCTGAAAGCAGAGACCTTATAGAATAAAAAGATGATAGTTGCAATTTTTATATGTTGCATGATATTTGCGCATCTGTTTAGCAAATGCAAATTTTCAGGAAAAAATATATAATCAATTTAATTTTAGTGCAAACGCATACAGTATATTATCCAGTTTTTTGGTAAATATAAAATATGATGTTGCATTGAGTAAATAGATACCAAATATGTCAAGTCTTAAAATTGCATGCACTCGTCATATCGCAAAAACTTACGATACACAAAAGTGTGCATGGGTGAAGCTTTAAAAGTCTTTAGATCTCATCAGTTTGGAGTTAACCAGAAGTTTTTGTTCCAGAATTATGGCTCTCATTCTGATGTTCATGGCAATACCTCACATGTGTGGCGTGACTGCGGTTTATATACTTGTGCACACCCTTGCATGCATCTGCGGGTGTGTGAGGCAATGGAGGTTACGGTTAATGTTTCCTTTAATACATTTGATCATAATTTTATTTTTTTAAATGTTTTTATTTTACTTATATATTTATTTTTACTTTATTGCTATCACAAGGAGTTAATAAACCCCTATGTGATAGCACAGGCAGGTAACAGGTACTCTTGTTGGAGACATTAGGGATCTAATAGACCCCAATAACTTCCTTGCCCTCTAATGCATGTAACCCAGCACAGATCTGCTTGGTTACTTGTGTACCGTGGTTTTACCAGAGAGAAAATGGTGGATCCGAATTTGGAAGCAAATAAATAATCATCAATTTCAGTTTCTTTGTTTACAGGGGAGATCACTGCATGGATGTGCCTCGGTTTCTCTCCGCTCTCTCCATCCTGAAGTAGCTTGATGTGGTCCTGGGCTCCCGGTAAGAGTAGGAAAGCACAGGAACCACACTAGTAAGGGGGGGGGGGGTGTAAAACTGTGCCACCCGCTCTGTGAAAGTAATTGGTGGTTATACAGCTGCTGCATCACTTTAAAGCCGGGACAGCTGAACAAATGGGGTACAGGCTTGTGTTTAATTGTTCACTCTTAGGACATACATAATGCGTCCAAAGACTTGAAGTGGTTAAAGCATATTTGCCTTGTAGTTGAAGCTAAGTCATTGTGCTAATGTTTTTTTTTCTTTTTACATAAAAAGTAATTTAATTTGACACAATAGATAACAATAGTGAACACCTCAGTTTTCTAAGTCACTATCAATTTGCTTTATGACCATTCTCACCGCTGTGACTCATCCACTTCCCTCCCACAGCTCCCTTTTCTACTGCTTATCTAACTAACTTATACTCACACTTTTTTACCCAATTTTTCTCAGATTGTTGTCTTTACAGATTTAATCTTTACACTTTTTTTTACTAAACGTTTATGTATCAGTACTGCTTGGCTCAAGAAGGTAGACCCCAAATATTGTTCTAAATATTTAACTGGTAATGTAAAAAAAAAAGCATGATGGAAATGACTCAGTGTGTTAATACAAGGGGACTAATATGGGTACAATCACCTTAAGCATTCTATAAATACATTATAGAGCAAAAATATGTTTCTTTAATTATTCATTGAAACTAAACAGGATGGTTTTAAAAAACTGCCATGCAGGTAATGTATATTACAGTTAATATGTTCTATTACCTTTATAATTTTTGTTTTCTGTATAGATTTCAGAGAAAATTCCGTCATTTACATTGTAAGTCAGTTATGCAGTATATGGGCTGATTATGCTTCATGTGGTACAGATAAACATTCATTTAGAAAGCTGGCTTTAGTAAGATTCATAGGGCAGTTCTGAATTTTTATTGGTTTTATAAGAACGCAGCATGTTTTTCATGGCACTCTTAAGCAGCTCAAAATGTTCATCCTGTATTTGTTTTTAAATATATACATTTACATTCAACCTACCTTTAGGTTACATTTTCTGGGCTAAATATCTGCAGATATGAATCACAGTAATGAAGAAACATGATTGGATTATGTACCTCTGCACACTGATCACTGCGCCATACCTCAATGAATAGAAATTTGTGAATGTGCAGTTTTACAAATTAATTTAAAAGAGCATATTATATTAAACGGTTAAATAAATACTTCTTGTCTGTATATTAATAAATAATAAAGACTGTAAAAATGAAAGTAGAGATAAGCAAATAAATAAATGTGTTTCACTGGTGATTCACCTAATTCACTCCCTTTTTAATATTTAACTCTTTAACACTGTCTCCTTGAAACCTTTTAAGTAGGCTTTAATGCCTGGGAGGCAGCGTGGCTTCTGTATCATGTAACTGCTGTGATTAGTTCTCACAGCTGTTATGTGATCAGGAGCCCATCCCACTGACTCTTGATCAAAAGTTGTGACTGAGAGCTGTCAGTAAGGAAAAATGTCACCAGCACACCAAGGATCACCAATATGGATACAAAGGTTTTCATGAACGATCACATAGTTACAGCAAGGCAACGTTTCGGAGTCTCGCAGGACCCCTTCATCAGGCATGTGACCATCATCCATGTGACAGCTGTCAGTGAGAGCTTGCTCAGTATGCTGGGAGTGCACAATGAGCTCACTGTCAGCACAAAGTCCATCCTCTTTTCCACTACATATTTATGCATTACATTGTCAACAACAGGTTCAATGAACGTTAACCACAGTAATATTACAATTTGTTATTCTACAATATTTCATTATTCTGTTAAAGGCAAAGACCAGTCTAATTTAAAAGGCAACAGTTATAACATATAATTGTTCTATTTTACCAATAAACAGTTAATGCATGACAAAGGATTCCCAGAGCACTATGAGCTAGTTAAAAAGACAGTAACTGCTTAGTAATCCAGTTTGTAATAGGAAACTCTGCCGCAACTGTCTAATGAGTCAGTGCACTGACTACTTAAATTCTGTATTAAATAAGCTCCAGTCAGCGCAGCTAAGAAATAGCTAAATATATAAAAAGCTGACAAGAAGGAAAAAAGAACACAGCAAAATTTCATTAATATTGTGTAAATATATGCAAAACAATCGTATATTTCTATACTACATTGAAGTTAAAAATCCCTTAGTTATCAAAAATGATCTGAACCTTCTTGACAGGCTTCTGAAAATATCTATTCATCAATCAATCTAATCTAATCTAATCTAATCTAATCTATCTATCTATCTATCTATCTATCTATCTATCTATCTATCTAGTAACTCTAATCAGTAAAGAAGGTAACAAGTATGTATGACTATAAATAATCAGTAATAAAATATTAACCACTTGCCTCTCTTAGTGTATTTTAAAATGGTGGACTTGTTGATGTGATACTCTAAAGGACTGTTTTAAATGATAATTTATTTAATACTTGGGTGTGTGTGTGCAATGCTGTCATTAGTGCAAATCACAGGCAAAATACACAAATCTATTCAGAGTGGCTCTGTGTCTTGTGATTACTGTGATGGCCTATTACAAGGATCACAAATGTTTTATATTTGCGTGATCTCCCCTTCCTCTCACAATAGACGAAGAGAATGGAGGATTTGTGATTAAAGGGATCAAATTTAATGAATGAAAAGAAGCAGCAGTTTCAAGGCGGTTGGTTTTAATTAATTTGATAGGGATTTAACCCTTTTACCACCTCCCCCCTGTACATCTCACCTTTAAACTGTCTCTGCAGAGACCTGCATATTAATGCATTCACCTTTTATTCTGCACATTAACCCTTTTATCTTCACCATCTCACCGTATGTGACCCTTATATTAACCCCTTTACCTTCTCCTCCTTCTGTGTATGACCTGTACATTATTGATGCACTGTATCTTTTGCACCATTAACAAGCCTCATATTTTAACCAAAGCAGTATCTGGCATGTTTTTTCCATTTCAAAAACTTTTTTAGAAAATTAGATCAACTTCTGGTGTCTACTTTCCACAAAAGGGTTCATTTAGGGTGTCTTTGTACTACTCATGACATTTTTATTTAAAATTATAACAGAAAGTAAGAGAAACAGGTTATTTTTTTAATTTGTGTTTTTTTCCTTTATATAGCAAAAAACAATTGCTATTAAATACTACCAGAAGAAAGCTCTATCTTTCTTAAAAATAATATAAAATAAATTTGGGTACAGTGTTTAATGATTAACTATCTGTCAAAGTATCACATCAATGAAAACTACAAAATTGCCAGGCAATAAAGGGGTATATACAGTCTAGTACTCAATTTGTTAATAGATATAGTCACATCCTTTACTGTACAACTTACAATACATTTTTTTTTTAAAGTGAGGTAGCATCCGGTCTGATTTCTCAGGGTGG